TTGAGCAACAGCAACGCATTTCCCCATATAGGTCAAGGGGAGCCAGTGGCTCAGAAACAAATCGAGTGGGTTCTAATCACGGACTTAATCAAAATGTAAACCAGTCTTTGTGTCAGGAAGATGACTATGAAGATGACAAGCCAACCAACTACAGTGAACGTTACTCTGAGGAAGAACAGCATGAAGAAGAAGAAAGACCAACAAATTATAGCATGAAATATAATGAAGAAAAACACCATGTGGACCAGCCTATTGATTATAGTTTAAAATATGCCACAGACATTCCTCCCTCACAGAAACCATCATTTGCATTCTCTAAGAGCTCATCTGGACAAAGCACTAAAACCGAACACATCTCTTCAAGTGGTGAGAATACGTCCACACCTCCATCTAATGCCAGGAGGCAGAGCCAGCCCCATCCAAGCTCCGCACAGAGCAGAAGTGGCCAGACTCAGAAAGCTACCTCTTGCAAAGCCCCCTCTGTCAGCCAGGAGACAGTACAGACGTACTGTGTAGAAGATACCCCCATATGTTTTTCCAGGTGTAGCTCATTATCGTCTTTGTCATCTGCTGAGGATGAAATAGGATGTGATCAGACAACACAAGAAGCAGAGTCTGCTAACACTCTTCAGATCACAGAAATGAAGGAAAACGGTGGAACTAGGTCCGCCGACACGCCTGTGCATGAAGTCCCAGCGGTCTCCCAGCATGTCAGAACCAAATCCAGCAGGCTCCCAGCTCCTGGCTTGTCTTCAGAACCCAGCAGGCACAAAGCTGTTGAATTTTCTTCAGGGGCTAAATCTCCTTCCAAAAGTGGTGCTCAGACACCCAAAAGTCCACCCGAGCACTACGTCCAGGAGACGCCACTCATGTTCAGCAGATGCACGTCCGTCAGTTCCCTCGACAGTTTTGAGAGCCGTTCCATTGCCAGCTCCGTTCAGAGTGAACCGTGCAGTGGAATGGTAAGCGGCATTATAAGTCCCAGTGACCTTCCAGATAGCCCTGGACAAACCATGCCACCCAGCAGAAGTAAAACCCCTCCACCTCCTCCGCAGACAGTTCAGACCAAGCGAGAGGTGCCCAAACACAAGGTCCCATCTGCTGAAAAGAGAGAGAGCGGGCCGAAGCCAGCCGCTGTGAATGCTGCTGTCCAGAGGGTCCAGGTCCTTCCGGATGTGGACACGTTGCTGCACTTTGCCACAGAAAGTACCCCAGACGGGTTCTCTTGTTCGTCTAGCCTGAGCGCCCTGAGCCTTGATGAGCCTTTTATACAGAAAGATGTGGAATTAAGAATCATGCCTCCTGTCCAGGAGAATGACAATGGGAATGAAACAGAATCAGAGCAGCCTGAAGAATCTAGTGAAAACCAGGAAAAGGAGGTGGAAAAGCCTGTTGATTCTGAAAAAGATCTGCTAGATGATTCAGATGATGATGACATTGAAATACTGGAGGAATGTATTATTTCCGCCATGCCCACGAAGTCATCACGCAAAGCCAAAAAGCCAGCCCAGACTGCTTCCAAATTACCTCCACCTGTGGCAAGGAAGCCCAGTCAGCTGCCCGTGTACAAACTTCTGCCACCACAAAACCGCTTACAGGCACAGAAGCATGTGAGTTTTACGCCAGGGGATGACATGCCACGAGTGTACTGTGTAGAGGGGACACCGATCACTTTTTCCACAGCCACGTCGCTAAGTGATCTAACAATAGAATCTCCTCCAAACGAGCTAGCTGCTGGAGAAGGGGTTCGAGCAGGGGCACAGTCGGGTGAAAAGCGAGACACCATTCCCACAGAAGGCAGAAGCACAGACGAGGCCCAAAGAGGAAAAGCCTCAGCTGTAACCATACCAGAACTGGAGGATAGTAAAACAGAGGAAGGTGATATTCTTGCAGAGTGCATTAATTCTGCAATGCCCAAAGGAAAAAGTCACAAGCCTTTCCGTGTGAAAAAAATAATGGACCAGGTCCAGCAAGCATCAGCGGCTTCATCCGGAACCAGCAAAAGCCAGCCAGATGGTAAGAAAAAGAAACCTACTTCGCCAGTAAAACCCGTGCCCCAGAATCCTGAGTATAGGGCACGGGGGAGGAGAAGTACGGACTCGAAAAATAGTTTAAGTGCTGAGAGAGCTTTCTCAGACAGCAGAGATCCGAAGAAGCAGAACTCGAAAAATAATCCCAAGGACTTCAGTGATAAGCTGCCAAATAACGACGACAGAGTCAGAGGAAGCTTTACTTTTGATTCACCTCATCATTACACGCCTATTGAAGGGACGCCATACTGCTTTTCACGGAATGATTCTTTGAGTTCTCTAGATTTTGACGATGATGATGTTGATCTTTCTAGGGAGAAGGCTGAATTAAGAAAGGGGAAAGAGAATAAGGAATCAGAAGTTAAAGTTACCAGCCACACGGAAGTAGCCTCGAACCAGCAGTCCTCTAATAAGACACAAGCTATTACCAAACATTCGGTAAGTCGGTGTCAGCCCAAACCCGGACTGCAGAAGCAGTCCGCCTTTCCCCAGCCATCCAAGGATCTGCCAGACAGAGGGGCAGCAACCGATGAGAAGCTGCAGAACTTCGCTATTGAAAATACTCCAGTCTGCTTTTCTCGTAATTCTTCTCTGAGTTCTCTCAGTGACATTGACCAAGAAAACAACAACAACAAAGAAAACGAACCTGTCAAAGAGACTGCACCCCCTGCCTCTCAGGGAGAACCAGGCAAACCTCAGGCCTCCGGGTATGCTCCTAAATCTTTTCATGTTGAAGATACTCCTGTTTGTTTCTCAAGAAACAGTTCCCTCAGCTCTCTCAGCATCGACTCTGAAGATGACCTGTTGCAGGAATGTATAAGTTCTGCCATGCCGAAAAAGAAAAAGCCTTCCAGACTCAAGGGTGATACTGAAAAGCATAATCCCAGAAATACGAGTGGCATATTAGCAGAAGATTTGACACTTGATTTGAAAGATATACAGAGACCAGATTCAGAACATGGTTTATCCCCTGATTCCGAAAACTTCGACTGGAAAGCTATCCAGGAGGGAGCAAATTCCATAGTGAGTAGTTTACATCAGGCTGCCGCGGCAGCGTGTTTGTCTAGACAGGCTTCCTCCGATTCCGATTCCATCCTGTCCCTGAAATCGGGGATCTCCCTGGGATCACCATTTCATCTCACACCCGATCAAGAGGAGAAGCCCTTCACAAGTAATAAAGGTCCACGCATTCTGAAACCTGGGGAGAAAAGTACGTTGGAAACTAAAAAGATAGAATCTGAAAATAAAGGAATCAAAGGAGGAAAGAAAGTTTATAAAAGTTTGATTACTGGAAAAGTTCGATCCAATTCAGAAGTCTCAAGCCAGCTGAAGCAGCCCCTTCCAACAAATATGCCTTCCATCTCTCGAGGTAGGACAATGATTCACATCCCAGGAGTTCGCAATAGCTCCTCAAGTACAAGTCCCGTCTCTAAGAAAGGCCCACCCCTTAAGCCTCCAGCCTCCAAAAGCCCTAGTGAAGGCCAGGCAGCCACCACTTCTCCTAGAGGAGCCAAGCCGTCGGTGAGGTCAGAGCTAAGCCCTGTGTCCAGGCAGACAGCGCAGATCGTCGGGTCAAATAAAGGGCCTTCTAGATCGGGGTCTAGAGACTCCACCCCTTCCAGGCCTGCCCAGCAGCCGTTAAGTAGACCGCTGCAGTCTCCGGGACGCAACTCCATCTCCCCTGGCAGGAATGGAATCAGCCCTACTAACAAACTGTCCCAGCTGCCCAGGACATCATCCCCTAGTACTGCTTCCACCAAGTCCTCGGGCTCAGGGAAAATGTCATACACGTCCCCAGGCAGGCAGATGAGCCAGCAGAACCTCACCAAGCAGACGGCTGTGTCCAAGAATGCCAGTAGCATCCCAAGAAGTGAGTCTGCCTCCAAAGGACTGAATCAGATGAGTAATGGCAATGGGTCCAATAAAAAGGTAGAACTTTCTAGAATGTCTTCGACTAAATCAAGTGGAAGTGAATCTGATAGGTCCGAGAGACCTGTATTAGTACGCCAGTCAACTTTCATCAAAGAGGCGCCAAGCCCAACCCTGAGGAGAAAGTTGGAGGAATCGGCTTCATTTGAATCTCTGTCCCCCTCTTCTAGACCAGACTCCCCCACTCGGTCCCAGGCACAGACTCCCGTGTTAAGCCCTTCCCTCCCAGATATGTCTCTCTCCACGCATCCGTCTGTCCAGGCTGGCGGGTGGCGGAAACTCCCGCCCAATCTCAGTCCCACCATCGAATACAACGACGGCAGACCGGCGAAGCGGCACGACATTGCACGTTCCCACTCCGAAAGTCCTTCCAGGCTGCCAGTCAACAGGTCCGGCACCTGGAAGCGTGAGCACAGCAAACACTCGTCGTCCCTTCCTCGAGTGAGCACGTGGAGGAGAACCGGAAGCTCGTCCTCAATTCTGTCTGCTTCGTCAGAATCCAGTGAAAAAGCAAAGAGTGAGGATGAAAAGCATGTGAACTCCACCTCAGGAACCAAACAGACAAAAGAAAGCCAAGTATCCACAAGAGGAACGTGGAGAAAAATCAAAGAAAGTGAAATTTCTCCCACAAACAGTACTGCTCAGACCACTTCCTCAGGTGCTTCAAATGGTGCTGAATCAAAGACTCTCATCTATCAGATGGCACCTGCTGTCTCTAAAACAGAGGACGTGTGGGTGAGGATCGAGGACTGTCCCATTAACAACCCTCGGTCTGGAAGATCTCCCACAGGTAATACTCCCCCGGTGATCGACAGTGTTTCGGAAAAGGGAAACCCAAGCGTCAGAGAGAATCAGGGCAAACAGAGCGTGGGAAATGGCAGCGCTCCTGTGCGCACCGCGGGTTTGGAGAACCGCCTGAACTCCTTTATTCAGGTAGATGCCCCAGACCAAAAAGGAACCGAGACAAAACCCGGACAAAGTAATCCCGTCCCCGCGTCAGACACTAACGAGAGTTCCCCAAATTAACAAATTTTTAGCCTGCTACAATAAGCAATAAAAACACTTAAAAATAATTTTCAGTTAAATATCAGAGGAAAACCTCAAATAAAGGCTTCATGGGGCCCAAAAAGGAACCGAGACAAAACCCGGACAAAGTAATCCCGTCCCCGCGTCAGACACTAACGAGAGTTCCGTGGCCGACCGAACCCCGTTCAGCTCTAGCAGCTCCAGCAAACACAGCTCACCCAGTGGGACTGTGGCTGCCAGAGTGACTCCTTTCAATTACAACCCGAGCCCTAGGAAGAGCAGCGCCGACAGCACTTCAGCCCGGCCCTCGCAGATCCCGACCCCGGTCAGCAACAGCACAAAGAAGCGAGATTCCAAAACTGACAGCACAGAGTCCAGCGGGACGCAAAGTCCGAAGCGCCATTCTGGGTCTTACCTTGTGACATCTGTTTAAAGAATAGGGACGATGAAACTAAGAGAATTATGTGTTAATTACAACTGCTATATAGAGATTTTGTTTCAGATGAAACTGTAAGAGACTGAAAAAGTTTGTAAATAGGTTTGATTCTTGTTAGAAAGTTTTTGTTCTGGAAGCCATATTTGACAGTATGCTTTGTCTTCACTGGTCATATTTTGGGAGGCACTCTTGATAGTTAGGAAAAAAATCGGTAAAGCCAAGTATATTGTACAGTAGGTTTTACATATATTTAAGTAGCATCCCATTCCCACCCCCCTTTAATTATTGCTTGTCTTAAATAACACTACAGGTAGGTAATTGCTGTTATCAATCATTTTTAGATTATAAAACATCAGGGAGAAATTGGTATTTATGCAAAAAGAATATGTTTTAATCTTTGCGAGTCCATCTAACATCATAATTAATCATGTGGCTGTGAAATTCACAGTGATATGGTTCCCGATGAACACGTTTCCCAGCCTGCTTTGCTTTACTGCATGAATGAAACCGATGGTTCAGTCTCAGAAGTATCGAACAGTTCTGTGGTCACATGACGTGTGCATAGACATAGCTGCAGTGTAACAATTTACACTGTTTTGTGCTCTAAAAAGAAAATCTGTGTTACTGTAAAACATTGAATGAAACTATTTTACCTGAACTAGATTTTATCTGCAAGTAGGTAGAATTTTTGCTATGCTGTAACTTGTTGTATATTCTGGTATTTGAGGTGAGATGGCTGCTCTTTTATTAATGAGACATGAATCGTGTCTCAACAGAAACGAAATGAACATTTCAGAATAAATTATTGCTGTATGTAAACTATTATTGAAATTGGTATTTGTTTGAAGGGTCTTATTTCACATTTGTAAAATAATTGTCTAAAGGGCCTCTTTTAAGAGCTTATATAACTTTTTTTCTTCAGATGCTATGCATTAAGAGTAAATTCCTCTTACTGTAATAATCGAAGAAGACTGTTGGCACTTAACCGTTCCAGGCATCAGCACCTAAGTATTCCTGAATTTATTATTTTTAATGTGATGAGCACTTGCTGCTGTGTGGTATTTTTCCACTTAGACATTTCCTCCTTACTCACTGGAGCTCGGTTAAACAGGTTCATGGAACAGTAATGTGACTGCCCGGAACAGACCTCGCGTCGAACCACAGGCCCAAGTAGATACTTCTGCTCCTTAGTAGAACTCAGCCCTTCGGAGGCACAGGGTCTCTTCCAAGCTTTCCAGGCTGTCTGTGCCAACGGCCTTGCCCTGTCCCTCTCCTCATTGCGACTGGGTCTGAAATGAACACTTTTTACCACCCTTAGAGGTTCAGGTCAGCACTTGGCCATGGGGAGAAACGGCAGAGATCAGGGGACTGTCAGAAGCAGAGTAAATGCCATCACGCTGTCGAGAAGGACAGGTTACAACCCTTCTGAGTGAAGGGAGCTTTCCCACCAGTGCGGCACGGCACGTACTAGGGGCCCGCTTTCTCGTAACGGGGGAGGCCTCCCTCATCAAGAAAAATAAGCAAATACACTTATTCACACACTAAATATAAGTAAATAAATGAATTTATTTAAATAAATTCTGAAAGGTCAGAGGGTTACTATGATGATAAATGCTCACATATTGGTTGAATAAGTGAACAAAAATTCTAATGATGAAATTCATGCCCAGCATTTGGGGAAGGTAAACATGTTTAGGCCGGGAAGAGGTGAGGGAGTTGGTGCCCTCAGTCACAGAGGCCTGCACTGATGGCTGTAGCTTACAGGTCATGAGGCTGATCTCTGGGCTAAAATGCCAGTCAAGTGCTACGTTGTGAGCCAGGGCTCAAAGCCCGGGCTCTCCTCTGTGCCACTAGTGGACAGCTTAACTTATTATCTTTGAGATACATCTGCGTTTACATTTTTGCCAAGTTTTACCCGAAAGTGTTTATGAATGCTATTAATTCTATCTGTACTGTCCTCGAGGCTGCCGCAGACAACAGGCATGCAGACAGTCGTGGTGGTTCCCTTCCCTTTGGGTCCTGGTGACCTATGTTTTGAATTGTTACATGCTTTTTATAAGCCACTTCAAATATTTCTATGGAAAGAGGTAGGATGTCAGTCAACACAAATAAAATTGCCTTCTACATCAGGTAAGGAGAAAAACGAGCGAGAGAAGAGTCTGGTCCAGCAGCTTCCCTGCTGGGAGAGGCCGCTCAGGCCACCCTCGCCCAGGAGACCGTGAGGAGAGGATGGACCTGAATTAAGACGGGCAGACTTCAGGTCTACCTGTAGAAACACAGGTGACTTCATAACTCACGGCAGGCTAGGTGTCCCGTTTACCCTGTTACAAGTGATTTGAGCCCAGTTGGGGGTTGTTGAGTGATGCCCACAGAGCAGATGGGGAAGAAGTGCAGTACCCTGGCTCCTGCGGGCTGCCCCATACCCCCAGGCAGATTTCCCGTGTGCATTTGAATGGCCAGAGTGCTTCCTGAGACTAGCAGGCCTCACCCCCACAGCTCTGACTCATTAGGTCTGGAGGGGGCCCAGGGGTGGACATTTCTGGCAAGTTTCGAGGTGTTGCTGACGCTGCCGGTCCATGGGCCACACTCAGAATTACTTCCCTCGGGAACCAGCAGTTAGCGTAATGGCTATGTCGCTGGACTCCCACATAGTCGACCATGGTTCATGTCCCGGACCCAGTAGCTTAAAACTCAACTCTGGGCGCGTGTGCGTGCCCAAGATCCCAAGAGGGGAATGGAGGAGAAGGGATTGCGGCGTGACTATCCCCCCTGGGGGGTGATTTCTCGCTTTCTGTCTCTGTCTGGTGAGTGCACGCGCCCTATATCAAAAACCTCTCCAAAAAAAAAAAAAAAAAAAGAATTACTTCCCTAAATTATAACAGCAATTGCTGTGGGTGGTAGTGAGTCCAGTGACAACTGGGCCTTTGGTCTGACTAAGTACACCAAGTAAACACAGGTGAGAAACTTCGGTACTGAGCACTCCAGGATAGCCATCTCAACTCCCAGCGATGTACTGGATGAGTGTGTGAGAAGTCTAAAGGCAAATGGCTGAGTCTGTAGGGTCAGCTCTTGTCCCCTTTGAAGCAGAATTGCTGCAAATGGCAATAGGATTAGAGGAGACTTCGAGAAAGCCAGCCAGACTCCAGATGAGAGGAAAATGCATTCAGCTAATTGATGCACAGTGGAAGTAATTAACCAAAGATGGCTTTGAGAATGAACCTCACAAATGAACAGGTTACTGAAAGGAAAGTTAATGAGAGGGAAATTAGGAAAAGAAAAGATAAAGCCCCATAAAAGAAGCACTGAAGGACAGGAAGGCTTGATTGTGTGAAATACCACATTATCACCAGGTAGATTGGGGGGGGGATTGTTGCTGAGGATTGGGAGCCAGTTGCACCGTGTCTGGATCCAGCTTATGGCAAGAGTTTTGTGTATCTTAACAGTGCCAGAGTACACGAGGTTATCCAGGACTGAAAGGTTCGAGTGGTCAGATCATTGAAATAGACCAAAACTGATTTTTCAAAAGTCATGGTGGCTAGGACCAGCAGTTAGTGTAATGGCTATGTTGCTGGATTCTCATGTAGTTGACCGTGGTTTGCGTCTCTGACATGGTGGCTTAAAACTCATGCCGGGCGCGTGTGCGTGTGTGCCCGCCCAAGATCTCAAGAGGAGAACGGAAGAGAAGGGATTGCGGCGTGGCCAACCCCACTGTGAGGTGATCTCTCACTTTCTGCCTGTCTCTGGCAAGTACACGCACCCTATAGCAAAAACCTCGCCCAAAAAAAAAAAAAAAGGTCATGGTGGCTGAAGTGTGTAAACTACGGTTTTCGTTTCTGATAAGCTCATTTCCCTCTGTTATGCTGACTTGGAAACCTGACTGTACTGTTGAGAGCTGTGGACTGTGGCTGTAAACCCCAGGCTGTCCTGCTGTTTCCCATGACTGGTCTGTAAGGGTATACTCTGCCTCCAGTTAGGCCAGCGACGCTCCTTCCAACCTGTATGTTCTCTTTATGTAATACTGTTCCTGGTGCTAAATATACTTTCTTCCCTCTGATATTCAGGATCATTCTTTCTCTACATTTGTGACTATTCACCTATGTTCTTGAAGTTATGTGATTGTTACTTTTTTAAATTAAAGATACTCAACATATACTGGTGAAGGTGATTGAGTATAAAGAAACATTAGTAGGAAGCAACTATTGGGAGAAGTACCAGACATGATCTCTCTGGCCTGCCCCGCCTTCTAGAACCCAAGCACTTCGCTCTACTGATCGGTGATGGAACAGAACTCTGACCATGGCTGGAGGAACTCTGATCTTGGGGAGACTCAGCATTGGCCAGTCAGTGACCAAAGACTTGTATGGCCAGGCTTTAGGAAAGGAAAGGGGAAAAAAATGGACTAGGCCAATTGATTGGGGTTTTTTTAGAATTATTTATCTGGGGCCAGGAGGTGGCATCATGGTTAAGGTGCTGGATTCCCACATGGCCTACTGTAGTTCAAGTCCTGGACCTGGTGGCTAGCTTTCTCACTTTCCCTTTCCCGCTCTCTGGTCAAATTTTTTTAAATAATAAAATCTCTTCTTAGGAAGAGTTATTGAATTTTTTATTTTATTTAATTGTTCATTTTTTAAATTTGGTATAGGGCACGTATGCTCACTAGGAGCCAGAGAGAAAGTGAGGAAGCAAGGCACCAGGTCCAGACTCAAGCCACAGTGCCTTAACTACCATACCACCGGCTGGCCTCCGGCCAGCCCATTGATTTCAAGTAAGAGTCACAAAGGAAATTTCTGGCTGGCGGTTGAGTGCTGGAACTGAAAGATCATGTTAAGGTAGAGCTGACTGTGATTGGCATCACAAAGTTTCAACTAAGAGAAAGCCAGCCAGTTGGGGACAGGGTTCGGGAGGCAGAGCAGCTGGAGAGCTAGCTCTGCTCCGCCTCCTTTGGGGTATTTGTGAACTTCTGACCCCACCTGTTCCTGAAGTAACTCGAAGCTAACAGAAAACCACATTTAGACTCAGTGAGTTTTTCTTAATTTCAAAGATAGAGAAAACGTTCTTAAAAAGATTAATGGGGGAGCCAGCAGGCGGCATGGTTGTCGAGGCACTGAACTCATGGCCGACAGCAGTTCGATAAAGCCCCATAAAAGAAGCACTGAAGGACAGGAAGGCTTGATTGTGTGAAATACCACATTATCACCAGGTAGATTGGGGGGGGGGTTGTTGCTGAGGATTGGGAGCCAGTTGCACCGTGTCTGGATCCAGCTTATGGCAAGAGTTTTGTGTATCTTAACAGTGCCAGAGTACACGAGGTTATCCAGGACTGAAAGGTTCGAGTGGTCAGATCATTGAAATAGACCAAAACTGATTTTTCAAAAGTCATGGTGGCTAGGACCAGCAGTTAGTGTAATGGCTATGTTGCTGGATTCTCATGTAGTTGACCGTGGTTTGCGTCTCTGACATGGTGGCTTAAAACTCATGCCGGGCGCGTGTGCGTGTGTGCCCGCCCAAGATCTCAAGAGGAGAACGGAAGAGAAGGGATTGCGGC